AGAGTAGAAAGTTATCTCCTCAATTCATTGCCCCATTTGACATTATTGAACGGGTTGAATAAGTTTCATATCATCTTGCTTTATCGACGCAACTCTCCAAAGTCCATAATGTATTTCATGTGTCTATTCTTCGCAAGTACGAACTAGATCCCTCCCACGTGTTAGATTGGATAGAGATTGAAGTGGGTGAAGATGTGTCTTATGAAGAAAGACCAATCCAAATTATTGATACACGGGAACAAGTGCTAAGGGATAAGACAATTCCATTGGTCAAGGTTTTGTGGCATCACCATGGTATTGAAGAAGTGACATGGGAATGTGAAGCGGAGGTGTACGAAAAATACCTGAACTTGTTTTCCAATTTGTGATGTAATTGCCTTTTTGCTCTTTACTTGTGTATGATAAGTTGGAGATGAATCATAATCTTCTAATTCTCCCTTGTCTTTGGTTTTAAATTGATATATTGTTTAATTGGGTGTTATTACGGATTGATAAGTACATTGTCGTTGCCATACTTTATTATTGGATTAGGAGTGAATGCTATTTCGAGGGAGAAATTTCTTAAGGGGGAGAGATTGTCACATCTTGTTCCAAGTGACCGCTTGAGCGAAGAAAGTGTCGCTCGAGCAGAGAATTGCTGCTCCTAGTATCTCGCAGGTTTACAGGCGGGGCCACTTGAGCGAAGGAATTATCGCTCGAGCGTAGAATGTGAGCTCCTAGTAGTTTTACTGTTGCTCTACAAAGCTTCTGTGACTTTTCATTTTTCACTTGAGCAGTGGAATTGTTGTTCGAGCGATCCCTTCGTAATTGTGTTGCTTGCTCAAGCAGTTTATGTGAATTCAGTAGTTTAAAAAGAACATTCTAGATCATTTTTTTCACTTTTCTTTTCTCTCTTCCTCCTTCTTGCCTCTAGCTCAAAAAACCCTAGATTTCTTGGCCAAAATACCTCTCATTCCTCCAAGATCTATCTTAAATCATTTGCAAGGGGCAAAGTACATGTGAAGAACATCCTTTCTACATATTGGATTTTTGTTTGGTGAAGAGCTCATCAAGAAGCTTGGTTCTTGTGTTCATAGCTTGAGGTAGGGTTACTTTTAACCTAGTATTTCTTTGTTTTGGAGAAGTTTATATGGTATCATATGACTTTAAGGTTTGAAAAAATGATTGAGATGGGTTAAACTTTATATTAAATAAAAAGGGACCACTTACTTGATTTTTATTACATTTTGATCTAATTTTACATAAATGAGGAACATTTTTGCTGGGAATTTATATCTATATAAAGATAAAGAGAAAGCCCTAAATTTGACCAAAGCCCTAATTTATAATTGAGTAGAAAATGGTATTCAGATTGGAATTTACTTAAAGTCTTGGAATATTGTGACCACTAGAAGGTGAAAGATGTGGATATTGTAATGATAATGAAATTATGGCTTTGGGGATTGATTCATCTTGAATGTTGTGATAGTATTTCCTTTTGTACAGTGTTGAATACTTGTGATTGAATGAAAGTTTGGTAAATTGTGCATGAGTCCATGTAAGAGTTGGTCTTAATGTTGTTGTATTGTGTTGGTACCCGCACGGGGAGTCAAGATGCCCAATTGCCCTATTTGAGCTTATCCCTAGACGAATGTGGGAAAATATTTTTGGGTGTCCACTGGTCCTACTGTATTGTAGTCGGTAAAAGTGGAAAAACGGATGTTTTTGGGTGCCCACGTCCTGCCGTATAATAGTCAGTAGATGTGGGGATGGTTTTGAACGAAAATGATTTGTGTATGTAATTTTGGACTCTTACAAGGTACTCATGGTGTGTTTGTCTTTCTGATATGGATAGTGGTTTAGTGCGAGATGGCAATGTGACTTCCGAATTATTTTGAATTTAATTACCTAATTAGCTTTGCTTTCCTATTAACTACCAATTTAGTTTTTGGTTATAATGGTGCCATGGACTTATTCAAATGATTAGATACTTAGGTAAATGTATTCCTACTGGGCATATAGCTCAACCCTATTAAAATTTTTAGGATATGATGATGTACCACCACAGTGATGACTTGAAGTTAGTGGCCGCACAGCTTGGATTGATAGCTCAAGGATCTGTTGTTGCCAATGCTTAGAGATTTGTATCAAGACTTGTAAATTTATTTTGTTGTTGTCTTGTATGCCTTTTGGGCTTTTGTTTTGCAATGTCATCTAGTTTAGTGAACTTGAAGATGAGTACCAAGTACCTTGGAAATGGAAACTTAAAATTGTAATTTCTTAAACCTTAGTTCAATGAGAAAGATGATTTTGGTATTTTGCTATGCTTGTCGTGGTGTATTTGGGGTATGAAAGAGTAGGGCGTTACATAGATCATTTAGTTTCAGATAGAAATCGTCCATATGCATTTGGGATTAGCAGGGAAAATTATCATAGAATAGGGTCACTGTTTTCCTGGTCAGAAACCTAAGTTTGCCCAATTGTATATATATGATACAGAGCATGAATTACAAAATCATCTTGATGTGATGGGCCAAACCGGTACAAATATTTCAGGCATTAATTTGTTAATATTGGAAGGTTTATGATAAATGTTAAATGCAATTAATCTCTATGTGAAAATATTCTAAAGTATCATAGATTTGTTGTGGGATCGTACTGTATTGAATCTACATGTGCGTATTTAGACTATGGAGGTGAATGACAATATATTAGGCCAACTGCAAATGTAGTTGTAACAATAATCATTGGTGATGATACTGGAACTAAAACGCATTGTGACATCATTGTTCAGAAAAATTATGGTATATTAAGAAGAATCAGTGAAGTACATCCATCATATGTACCATTACAGTACCCATTACTGTTTCCATATGGTATACTTATATTGTTTATTTTTTCATCCAATTAGATGACGGGATAGTCATGTCTCAAGATTTAGAGGGCATTCAGTTGCATAGAGATTTATTACAGGAAACTATAATAGCGAACAACAATATTGTCACAGAAGAAGAAGGTAATAATTATTATTTGTATTAATTTTATAATTATGATTTATTTGACAACATTATCATAACTTCAAATAATAAAAGATTTGACACTAAATATTTTATTCATGCAAATTCAAATAAAGGAATTGTTGTGTTCCCGATATCTGAGGAAGTTCGCATACATGAAGATGTTTCGGAAGTTACAAGGGTGGTGAATAATAATATTGTCCTACCAGAAGGTAAACCCATATATATATATATATATATATATATGTTTATAGATATTAATATTTTTAATTATAATTTTTAAAATTATAATTGCCAATAATTGATATTCACGAACCTTTAAATTAAATATTAATTTTTAAGTTAATCATTTCTCAATTAAATTTTAGATGATAAAATAGTCATGACCCTCGTAGCTGAGGACATTCAGTTGCATGGAGATATCTCAGAAGTCACTTTGACAACAAATGTTAATATTCTTCCACAATAAGGTAAGAATAAACTATTATGTTATTCATGACTCATAATTTATACTTATCTCATTACTATTCTCATTGTATTATTTCACATAAGTTTATTTTGGGATATTTAATTATTTTTCAATGATTTTTTACGATGAAAAGTCATAAATCCCATAACCGAGAGCATTAAATTGCATACAAATAATAACATTGTTCCACGACAAGGTAAGAATTATTTTGTAATAATTTTGTTTAAAAAATTAATGACAACTCCTACAATTTAAATATACATTGTCTCAAAAGTATGTATATATATTTATGTTAGGTATGCCTTTCATGACTTAAACCCAAAATGTCATAACTTTTTCACTACAAAAATCATAACTTTATTGCACTAAAAAATGTCATAACAAAATCTCAAAAATGTCATAACAAAATCTCGAAGTGTCATAACAAAAATCACAAAATGTCATATTATTCCTAATTTTAGGGTGCACATCATAAACTTGCTATTTATAACTTCATTACAAAATGTCATAACACATATTACAAACAATCATAACATTCATTAGTAAAAAATCATTACTTTTCTACAATGTGCATCATTTAAAAGGATGCACATTGTAAATTTTTCCTACATATAATACTAATTATTTGCGATGTGCATCATACAGATGTTGCAATCGTTGCACGTCACAGAAAACGACGCGTACTGAGTAGATGGAAATTTAGTGACAGAACATTCACATGTCCGCGATGTGACGCCATCATGTGTTTAGATGAGAGAACAAAGGATAGTTCTAAAACCAATCCCAAATTCAGATTATGTTGTCAAGCTGGGGAGGTCCTTTTACCTTTATTGCAACACGCTCCTGACTTCTTAGATGCACAATTGAGGAATGCAAGTTTTATGGAAAAAATTAGAATGTATAATTCAATGTTGTCTTTCACATCAATGGATGGAAAAGAAGATCATTCAGTTTCAGATGGAAGAGGTCCATATGCATTTCGGATTAGCGGGGAAAATTATCATAGAATAGGGTCACTGCTACCAACTCCTGGTCAGAAACCTAAGTTTGCCCAACTGTATATATATGATACAGAGCATGAATCGCAAAATCGTCTTAATGTGATAGGCCAAACCAGTACAAATATTTTGGGCATTAATTTGTCAATATTGGAAGGTTTACAAGAAATGTTAAATGCAGTTAATCCTTATGTGTAAATATTTCGAAGTACTGGAGATTTGTTGCGGGATCGTAATGTATTGAATCTACATGTGCGTATTTTAAACTCCAGAGGTGAACGACAATATATCAGGCCAACTGCAAATGAAGTTGCGGCTATAATCATTGGTGATGATGCTGGAACTGAAACACATCGTGATGTCATTGTTCAGAAAAATGATGGTATATTAAAAAGAATCAGTGAAATACATCCATCATATGTACCATTACAGTATCCATTACTGTTTCCATATGGTATAGATGGATGGAGGTGTGGCATCTTTTCTAATACATTCTCAAGCAAATCTCGAAACAATGTGTCAATTAGAGAATTTTATGCATTTAGACTCCAACGTAGAGAATTTGAAGGTAAAACACTTTTAAGAGGTGGGCGTTTGTTTCAACAATTTATCGTTGACTGTTATGCTGCTATTGAGCAAACTAGATTGAATTACATCAAGACCCATCAAGCTGAGTTACGCGCAGACCTATATCAAGGAATAGAAGACGCTGTAGTTGCTGGAGATGTAGATGCGTCAGCAGTAGGGAGAAGATTTGTGTTACCTTCGTCATTCTCTGGGGGGCCACGTAGTATGATCCAACGTTATCAAGATGCTATGGCAATTTGCAGAACTATTGGAGCTCCTGATTTGTTTATCACGTTCACATGCAATCCTATATGCCTAGAAATAAAAGTTGATCTTCCAAGACTACCGAATCAACGTGCAGAAGATAGACCTGATATCGTTGCTAGAGTTTTTCGGATTAAGTTTAAACAATTACTAACCGACTTGAAGGAAAATAAAATATTTGGAGAAGTACTTTCAGGCATTATTATTCTAACACTTGTGCATTTATGATATAACAAATACTCTTAAATGTCTAATGTATCAATAATTATTTTTATGAACAGTTATTTACGTCATTGAGTTTCAAAAACGGGGATTGCCGCATTCTCACATTACAATCACACTGGCATCGGAGAATAAGCCAATCACACCTAAACAAATTGATGAGTTTATATGTGCTGAATTGCTTGACAAAAATACAGACCCATTGGCATATGAGACTGTCGTCAGATGCATGATACATGGACCTTGTGGTGCTGCTAATCCCAATGCTCCATGCATGGTAGATGGAAAGTGTACAAAACATTATCCGAATAAATTTTGTAATGAAACAACAATTAATGATAATGGATTTGTATCATACAGACGCAGATGTAATGAGGGCAACACAATAAACATAAATGGATTTATAGTTGATAACAGATGGGTCATTCCATATAATCGTGATCTTTTGGTGCGATATGATTGCCACATTAATATTGAACGATGTGCGCACCCGAAGTTGATGAAATATTTGTACAAATATGTCAATAAAGGGCCTGATCGTGCGACAACTGTGATTGAGGATAATGTTATTCATCCAAACAATAATGGGCAACAACATTACAAACAAGTTGATGAGATCAAACAGTATTTGGATGCTCGATACGTGTCTGCGATTGAAGCGTGTTGGAGGATATTTGAGTTTGAAATTCAAAAACAAACTCCTTCTGTTGAGCGCTTACAATATCATCTTCCAGGTCAACAATTTGTTATATTTAATGACAATGATCATCTACACGAAGTTATTGACCAACAATGTGTTCATGACACAATGTTGACCAAATGGTTTGAAGCAAATAGAACCCACCAATCTGCAAAGGAGTTGACTTATGTTGAATTTCCAACAAAATGGGTATGGAAAAGAGATAAAAAAGAATGGGATGTCCGAAAATCACATAAATGTATTGGTAGATTGCCATATGCACATCCAACATCGGGTGGGAGATATTATTTGAGAATGTTATTGAATAAGGTTCGTGGTGCAGAAAGTTTTGAGTATATCAAAACTGTAAATGGGGTCATGCATACAACATTTAAATCTGCATATATTGCCCTTGGTCTACTCGATGAGGATAATGAATGGCACGAGGCATTGGCAGAAGCATCAAATTGGGCATCAGCAACAAAACTTCGACATATGTATTGCACAATGCTCATGTTTTCTGATATAACCAATCCAGTCGAATTATGGGAACGTCATTGGAAAAGTTTCACCGATGATATACAATATAGAATCAGAAGAGATATGAGAGATAGTGATCTATATCTTGACGATGAAGACTTAAAAAATTTAGGACTTCTCGAAATTGAGCATATATTAAATAGAAATGGAAGATCTCTCAAAGATTTCCCTCCCATGCCATTGCCATCTTCGCAAGGTGCTCAATTTGTGACAAATAGGCTCATCAGAGAAGAGATGGAGTACGATAGTGTTTCGGAAAAACAATTGTTCAATGAATTACATTCTGGTTTAAATAGTGAGCAATTGGAAGTTTATGACACCATAATGAATGCATACAATTGTAAAAAAGGGGGTTTGTTTTTCCTTTATGGAAGTGGGGGAACAGGAAAAACATATCTGTGGAAAACATTGATAGCAAAGTTTAGGTCAGAAAAAAAAATTGTCCTTTCAGTTGCATCATCTGCAATTGCGGCTTTACTGTTACCAGGAGGTAGAACTGCACATTCACGCTTTAAAATTCCAATTAATTTGGATGAATTCTCAAGTTGTAGTATTAATCAACAGACTGAACTGGCAAAATTAATTCAAGAGGCATCATTGATCATATGGGATGAAGCTCCAATGCACCATCGTTATGGATTTGAGGCAGTTGATCGTACTTTCAGAGATATACTAAAGGGTACAGAATTTTGTTCAAGTGATTGTGTATTTGGTAGAAAACTATTCATACTTGGTGGTGACTTTAGACAAATTTTACCTGTAGTACCAAAAGGTAGACGGGAAACCACAATTGTAGTTTCGTTGAAGGAATTGACTGTTTGGAATCATTGTCATTGTAACGCCTCGAAATAAATGCAATATACCATCCAAGACGATAAGTGAATAACATTATGAATTAACGTATACTGTCCTTCTATTACATGAGATTCAATTGTACAAAAGGGTGACACATGCGATATATATTCATAAATAGAACATCCTGAATCTACAGCATGTGTTACCAAACAGTAATAATGTAATAAAAGCTAAATAGGTAATCATGCCCTAAAGGTTTATATCTTTCCAAGTCAAGGCTTGGGTACATCAAAAATAAGTCGTAAGCTCAATATAAATAAAACTCTAGGCCTGTATAAATGTTAAATACAAAATAATAAAATTGAGCCTTCAATTCTATAATCCTCCCAAGCTAAGTCCTTGGTGGAGGTCACCAGCACCTGAAAGTGGTTTTTCCAAATAGGGTGAACCAAAGCCTAATAGAAATAATCTAATACAATATATGAAACTCAACGAAGGTATAGCGGTCATATGCATATACAGAACTATTGATAAACCGTCTCATAATTCTTTAACCTAGTAAATAATTGAAAAGGATAAAATAGTCATTTGAACATTTATCCTTTTCCATAATATCCTAAACAAGCATTGGATCACTAAAAATAGTCAAATCCAGACATCTAATCCTATGACTAAACAAACATAGGATACAAATTTAGTCTAACCAAATAGTCCCGGGACAATGTATCCCAGAACTAATAGTCCGATGGATTACAATTCCCCCTTATCCAGTCCGTCCAAACAAACGCACCCTAAGAGTCTTATCTTTACCCAAACTGAAGTCTGCTCTCATTCTAGGACTCTTGTCCCTTATCCGCTTATCCCGGATTTTGGTATTTCTGCAGATACCTCGGCCTAGCCGAGATCATCTCGGCGTCATGACTAGGACACATGGCACCTCGGCTGGCACTCCGGTGACACCTCAGCCACGTGTTGTCATTCAAAAATTATGTCCCCACAACTGCCCCTTAGGTTCTATTACCTTGGCATTTTGAGGTGATGGAACCTATATTATTTCCTCCACTTAGCATGTCGGCTAAGCTCACTTTACCCTTCATTACCGAGGTCATCATTCGTCGGCTCAAATATGACTAAGACCCATAGTCTGTTTTCATCAATGCTCTAGAACCAATAACCAAGTTTGTTCAAGTTTCTTAGCCGAGATCGTCCTTCTAGCCAAGGTCCTTCTTCATTAAATCAAGAACTCCAAGAGTTTCAACACGCGTATGAGCTGTCACGCATAGCAACTCAACCATTTTTGCCACGCGTCTTCCCTCTACTGAGCCGTTCTTGACACGCGCCACTAAGTCGTATCGCTCGTGCATGCGCCATCTGGCAAGCACGTCGTCCTAGGTACCATAATTGCCATTTTGCCTTCACTTCGTGTTGTTTGATCAAAATCAACTCTCTCTCTCCGTCTTTTCACTTCTGCATCTTCACTTTCGTACAAAACTCTCTCTCTCTACTCTCCCAAATCCGCCATTGCTGCTTTCGCGAAGCTTTCTACAACCAGTTTCACTCTCTCCCTCCGGCAAGGCTTTTGCTGCACTTCTTTGCTCACTACCACCGTTTGACACTGCCAAGTATAAGAACAGTTCCCCTCCAAGCATTGGATTTGAGAGCACTGGAGCTGTGGTTAAATACTTCTTCAAGTCGGCCAAGGCAACTTCGCACTCTTCTGTCCATAAGAAGTCTGCGGCTTTCTTTACTAAGCTGAAAAAGGGTTTACACTTGTTAGAGTTTCTGCTTATCAATCTATTTAGGGCTACAGCCCTTCCAGTCAACATCTGCACTTGCTTTGCCGATGTTGGGCTCTTCAATTCTAAGATGGCCTTGATCTGATCTGGGCTAGCTTCAATGCCCCTTTCTGGTGACCAAATATCCTAAGAACTCACCAGGCCCTACTCCAAATGCACATTTCGATGCATTTAGTCGGAGCCGATATGTTCTAAAGATGTCAAAAACTGCCCTCAAGTCTTCCAGACCCTCAGGTTCTTTGGTCTTCACGACCATGTCATCTATGTATGCCTCCACTGTTTTGCCGATTAGATGTCTGAACATCTTGGTCACCAATCTATGGTAAGTTGTTTCTGCATTTTTCAACCTAAAAGGCATCACTCTATAGCAATACAGCCCTTTTGGGGTGATAACTGCAGCCTCCTTCTCATTTGGGGGGTACATAGCTATCTGATGATACCCCTTGTAAGCATCCAAGATGCTCATCTTTTCATACCCTGAAGTGACATCCACCAATTGGTCAATCTTGGGTAATGGGAAACTATCTTTGGGACAAGTCTTGTTCAGACTGGTGAAGTCCACACAGACCCTCTATTTCCTATTCTTTTTCTTCATAACAACCGTATTTGATAGCCATGCCGGGTAATTTACCTCTCAAATGGCTCTGGCCTCCAGAAGTCTGTCCACTTCTTCTTCTACTGCCTCAACATGCATCAACGTTGGCTTCCTTGCTCGTTGGATGACAAGTTTGGCCGACCTGTCCACATCAAGTCTGTGGCAAGTGACCTCGGGGTCAATGCCAGGCATCTTGTACGGCGTCCAGGCAAACACCCCAATGTTTGCTCTCAAGAACACCTCTAGCTCTTTTTCCTCTTCCTCGACCAAGCCCAAGCTGAGAATAAAGAAGCGCTCTTTATCTCCCTACTGGACAATGATTTTCTTTAGGGCTTCCTCACTCTTCTCGGCTGGCTTTTTGTCGATGTCCTCCAGGACTTCCATGTCCTCATCCTCAATCTCTGCTGTTTTTAGGGGCCATGTCGGCGTTCTATTGAACCCAACCATTAGGCCATTGGACTGCTCCAGATCATCCTGGTGAAGTCCAAGCTCCTTGTAACACCTGACATACATGATGTCACAAGAGCTGCCTTGGTCAATTAAGATGCGCTTCACCTGGTATTCTCCAATCTGGAGGGATATTACCAAGGCATCGTTGTGTGGATGCTGCACTATCTCTAGGTCGTTTTTAGTAAAAGACACCACTGGTCTCTGGCACTCGTCTGCCCTAGGTCTTTTCTGCCGGACCTGGTACACATGCTGCAAGTGCTTTACCTTCTGAGTCTCCCCACGTATCTCGTTCTCATTGACCTTTGAGTGAATCACATTGATCACTCGAGGTCCGCCTGCTTGTAGTTGAGGTGCTGAGAGAGGTGGTGCTGCCGGAGCTTGAGGCAGTCTTGCTTGTTCTTCCCTTGTCCTGGCCTCGTCTACTAGCTCCCTTAAATGACCTTGTCTTACCAGGTCTTCCAGATGTGCTTTCAGGGCTCTGCAACTCTGAGTCAGATGCCCATCTTCGTTGTGGTAAGCACAGTGCTTGCCAAGGCTTCTTCCTATAAATTCGCTCGGCACCCTTGCCAGTGCTCTGTAATAAGGCTGATTTCGGATTTTCTCCAAGACTTTGTAAACCGGGATTTGGAATACAGTTGTGACTGCCTGTGCAGCCCTTAATCCTGTCTCTTGCTTACTGTATTCAGTGTTACCTCGGCTTTGCTTCGGCAAGCCGTTTCTCTTTTCTTGTGTTTTGAATGTTTGTCTTTCTTCTTACTGCCTTGTATGATTCCATACTTAGAATAATTTGCCTGTGTTCAACATATACCTTAATTGTGCAGCATCCTCGGGGTGAAATACCTCGATTAAAACCCACTAACGGTTTATTTCGGTAAGTACATAGGTACTTCTTTCAATACAACCTTAGCTTAAACTTGTAAATTTTTCTTAAAAATTTCAACAAGTGTTAAAACCAATCTTCCTTTAATCATAACCTCGGATTCACTTCAACTTGTAAATTTTTCATAAAATTTCAACAAGTGTTAAACATGACCTCGGTTTAACTTCACATGTCAAACACAATTTTAGTTTGTAAATTTCAACTTTCAAGTATCTTTCTCCAGCCCTCTGCCCCCCTAATGTGAACCTAAGTTCCACTTGGGTTCTCATTAAGCAAGCGGCTTTGACCTCGTCTCCGAGGTAAGATTCAAACAAAGACTGGCCGAGGTTATCAACCTTGGCCTCTTTGTTAATCTATGTACTTAGTGTCTGACTCTGTCCATATGTCAAGTCCAGGTTAATTCAACTTAATTCAACTTTATTATATACAAGTAGGAACTCTGCTATATAATAAGTCTAAGTATTCGTCATGTTTCAATTAGAAATATCGCCAACTTAGTTCAACTCTATTATATGCAAGTAGGAACTCTGCCATATAATAAGTCTAAGTTATTCTTCATGTTTTAATTAGAAAGATCGCCAACTTAGTTCAACTCTATTATATACAAGTAGGAACTCTGCCATATAATAGGTCTAAGTTATTCATAATGTTTCAATCAGAAAGATCGCTAACTTAGTTCAACTCTATTATATGCAAGTAAGAACTCTGCCATATAATAAGTCTAAGTTATTCGTCATATTTCATTCAGAAAGATCGCCAACTTAGTTCAACTCTATTATATGCAAGTAGGAACTCTGCCATATAATAAGTCTAAGTTATTCACCATGTTTCAATCAAAAAGATCGCCAACTTAGTTCAACTCTATTATATGCAAGTAGGAACTCTGCCATATAATAAATCTAAGTTATTCATCATGTTTCAATCAGAAACATCGTTAACTTAGTTCAACTCTATTATATGCAAGTAGTAACTCTGCCATATAATAAGTCTAAGTTATTCATCATGTTTCAATCAGAAATATCGCTAACTTAGTTCAACTCTATTATATGCAAGTAGGAACTCTGCCATATAATAAGTCTAAGTTATTCATCATGTTTCATTCAGAAATATAGCCAACTTAGTTCAACTCTATTATATGCAAGTAGAAACTCTGCCATATAATAAGTCTAAGTTATTTGTCATGTTTTAATCAGAAACATCACCAACTTATTTCAACTCTATTATATGCAAGTATGAATTCTGCCATATAATAAGTCTAAGTTATTCGTCATGTTTCATTCAGAAACATCGTCATAGGACTGGTCGGTCCTATCGCATAGATTTCAAATTCACAAAA